GAAGGAGGAATTTGTTTTCCTGGTATATTCCCAATGAGTCATCACAGTGTCTATATATAGATATATCTCCGTTCCACCATCTCTGTATCTTTATTGTTCTGATAATGAGAAGTCTAAAGGAATCACTTGGTTGTGCCTTGTGGTCACATTTCTTCCTGCTACTAACGGAGAACTTGGAAAATCTCCTTTTCCCTTGAGATTGATAACACAATCATCCACCCCTCCCCCCATGCCAAGGTGTGATCATTGACTCAGACCTCACCTTTCTTCACCACATCCAATCACTATCCGAATCCTGCCACCTTCACCATCGTAACATCTCCAAAATACGCCCCCCGTCCTCACTAATGAAACCGCTAAATTACCCATTCACTTGCGTGTTATCTCTCGTCTTGGGAAGAGACGAGAGACTGACTATTGAAACTCCCTCCTCATTGGCTGACCTCTACACAGGCTCCTCCCCCCTTCAGTCTATCATGAATGCAGCTGCTAGACTCATTCACCTTACCAACCGCTCAGTGTCTGCCAATCCCTGCACTGGCTTCCACTCGCCCAGAGGATAAAATTCAAAATATTAACAGTCACTTATAAAACCATCCACAACTTCCGCCCCCGGATATATCTCAAACCTTGTCTCAAAGTATCACCCTAAACGCCCCCTCCGCTCTTCCAAAGACCTCTTACTTTCCAGCTCCATCGTCAACTGCTCCCATGCTCGTCTTTAGGACTTCTCTAGAGTCGCTCCCATCCTCTGGAACTCTTTACCCCAACCTGTCCGTCTATCTCCTACTCTGACTGCCTTTAGGCGATCGCTTAAAACTCATCTCTTCAAGGGAGCCTATCCCAACTCAACCTAACCACTCAACCATCACGTTCTCAAACAATTCATCCCCACACAGGTACCTCCTCATGTATCACTTCCCCCTCCCTTGTAAGCCCTCAGGGGCAGGGCCCTCCTTACCATCTTGTCTTGAATTGTATTGTGCTTGTAATGTCTTCCTTATATTGTAAAGCGCTGCGCAAACTGTTGGCGCTATATAAATCCTGTATTATAATAACAAAAATAAAAACATTTCCTTCTGCTGGTAGCACTCATCACAACCCCGGAGTAGACCTGAATGGTCGCTTTCCAAGCTTTGTATCTGGGGCATTTAGACTCGTTACCATTATTGCCCAACCCGGAGGGAGCTCACTATCTAATGGACCTTTTATCTTTTTATACAAAAGTGTCAATTGGTTCCTCTGGCAGGAAACATAGAACTGTATGTTCTGCTGTGGGCAGAAGCTAGATTACCGAGAGCAGATATGTCAGACAGTGAGACAAACTGAGTGGACTGTAGCTTCAAATGGCCACATTTTGTTTACTGAGGGCCGAAAAAAATGCAAGGAAGTGGGAATGCAGGGGGTCATTCACTTACAAATCAAAAACCAATGACAACCCCAAAGAAGGGAAGGGCTGAATGTGGCATAAAAAAAAAAATCTGACATGCCTGGTATAAAAGTAAGCAGAAAATAAAGAGGTGAGTTTTATACTCTGTTTATGGTCCTATTTGTGTGAGGTGTTGAACAGAACAGTGGTTCTCATCCACCGGGCCATGACCCAGTTTCAGCCACAATCTCACTCAGTGCCAGGCCACGTTAGCGACTGCTCTGACAGTAAGCAAACATGGTACAAAGGGCTGTGTTTACATGTGGGGTCATGACTTCCATACTCGGTTTCCTCACATTAGAACGCCATGCCCAGATCAGTGGCCACCAACCAATAGTAACTACAATGGGTGGGACCATCCTTTAGGATTGACAGAGACCTGTGTGTTAGAGGTGGGATTTCACCGGTGACTGAGAAGAGAAGTGACTACTGGAGAGCAGAACCTGAGGACCTACCTAATCCATCCAATCAATCTGCATGCAATCGGACAGGCCCTTGCACTACATATTTGCTGGCAGATCTAAGGGTCCCCACACACCTTACGATTATCGTACGATAATCGCGGGAAATCCCGCGATCGTACGATGATCGTAAGGTGTGTGGAAGCCGTGCGACCTCTACTACTGTAAGGTCGCACGACTTTAAACTTACGGACATGTTTGAAAACCCGCCGAGCATCGTACGATGTTCGGCGGGTTTGTGGCATGCCCGTACGATAACAGCCGCACGGGCCGGTGTGCGCAAGCGCACACTGCCCGTTCGGCGTTGCGGTCATCGGAAGCCCGCCCCTCAGGGGGCGTGGCTTGCGATCATCGCAAGTACGATCTGCCTATGCAACATAGGCAGATCGTACGTTTTTTTAAGTACCTTACAACCATCGCAAGACAAAAGTCTTGCGATGGTTGTAAGGTGTGTGCCCAGCCTAAAGGAGATTGTACAACCAGATTGTATAACATGTGTGGTGAGAGTTAGAGGACGGTGGGGAGAATGGGAAAGTAGTGTGACCCCTTAGAACAAGTTGAAGGTTGGTGTAGCAATGTGGAAAACTCATGGGGACAGAGATGTGGAAAGCAACAGATTGGTGTGTATACAAGGTGGAGATGAGTTCTTTTATTGTGAAGAATGGACCAGACTGAGTTGGCTAGGATTGGGGGTACACCGACTGCTATTCATTATTGGGGTGCTGCAGAAGAAGTCATGTTTGAGGTGGATTGTAGTACAATCCAGTGCATGGATGTGGCTGGAAGTGATAAACCGAGGCCTGCCATGCAGTGTTGTAGATGCCAATTGACCTGGCGTAGTGGCTGATAGGGTGGTCTGGGTGGAGCACAGCAGGGTCACATGGGCACAGCAAATGTAGCCTGGCCAGAGGTGCCAGTGAGTCTACATGGTGCCGTGACATGCCATATGGTCATAGCCCCATCCTACAACTACTATTATTTCTAACCTGCTGAAATGGGTAACTTCAGCCCACCAACAGCCAACGTTGTGCCATCAGATGCTTCTACTCATTCTCTGGGCTCGTTCACACCAGCCTGCATGTTAAAACGCTGCAAGCTGGTGTCCATTGTTTAGAGGTAGTGAAAGGTGGTGCGCAGGGCTGGATTTCCCACAAGGCCAACAAAGGCCCGGCCTTGGGGCAGCAGGGGGTAGAGAGGCAGCAGGGGTGTGGAATTCCTATCTCCCGATGCAGTTCCGGGAGCCGGGCGGGTAGTTTTATACATTTAGCCCTGCTTTGGGCACGCAGAGCTAAACGTACAGCGGGGAAGCCGCCACCGCGATGTCACCGAGATCACTTGTATGCAGCCTGCAGGTCTGTCATTCTCCATGGGGGGAATGTGGCAAGGAGGGGGCGCGTTAAGGACCCTGGCCTTGAGGCAGCTGAGAGAGTACATCCGGCCCTGGTGGTGCGGTTCGTTTCAGTGTCACAAAATCACACTTTATGATTGAGAACAGAAATGAGCTGGGAACTCAGTCTACACCACACAATATTACTAAAATAAAACTTGTCTACGATTATCTCAGGCGAGTCTTGGATTCTTAGATTTGCAGAGCCCTCAGGTTTATTTACCACTATCTATGTCCCCCATAGGGAGATGGGTTTAGCGTATTTACAACACACACCATACTGCAGCTTTGTCAGGAACCGGATCTGAACACAGGGCTTCTGCTGTAGCTGGTGGTGGTTCTACATGCTGAGCCGCCTTAGAACCTTGAATAGCTCCTTGCCTGATCTCCTGTGTAATCCTCAGCTAAACCTAGTTTCTGCTGAACTCCTTGCTCCTCCCTTGAACTTCCTATTTTAGCCACGCCTCTGCACTGCCTGTTTGCCAGACTATTGTGCTCTTGTCAATATCTTGCTTCCTTGCGCCTCCTGTGATGCAATCCGCTCATACTGCTACCCGTGTTCAGACCTTTGGCTGCTGATTCAACGACTACTCTCATCGTTTTCCACTTCATACCCGATACCTTTGGCTACTGACCTCAAGTTGATCTCTGACTACGCTTCTGCCTGCTCCTATGCTACAATCGTCTGCTTGTGTACCGAACTCGGCCTGTTTGACTAAACTTTGCCTGCTGTTTTAGCTACTGGACTCCGAGCCTGATCCAGATCGTGACAAGTTTATTCTAGTATGGGTGCTCTAATATCAAACATCTGGCATTATTCAGAACATCCATGGAATAGGTCAGCACACCATCATTCATACAAAATATATTTTATTGCATCAGAAGATCATACCACAGTACAATATTTCAGAGCCATGAAGGACTCCTACATTAAATCGGATGGGGAGATTTTCCCTCACTGGTCTGTCCTAATGGCACCAGTCACCAAGACCGACAGTGGGGAGAGATCTTAGTTCCCAGCATAGAAACAGACAGCAATAAAAACCTGAGCATCTAATGTATCCCTAATCTGTCCAAAGCAGTGCAGGATGGAGTCCTACTACAATATCTATATTAGTGAATGACAAAATGCCAGATTGTAATTCTTTCGCTCTGTAGAAGATCTCAGCAAGGTTGCAATAGAAGGATCTTGCTAAAAACTTGTAGGATCTATTAAAAGCCAGATCCAGCCCAGGGGGTCTATTTTTTAGTTTTGAGTAGGTGGGGATGAAGCTCAGTCAGGTTTGTATTGCTGCCTCTTTTGCAGAGGTTCCCCTCACTTCTTGTCCAGGTGACAGGCAGAACAGGAAGTGAGTGAAAATCTCCCCTGCAGGGAAATAGACAGAATGTAAAACATGACAGAAGTTCTAACCCGTTCCCTCTCAAAAACTAAACTGTTGTGGCTGGGTTCGGGCTCTATCGTGGAAATAATCAAGCTGCCCTGATCTCATCCACTGCATGTGGAAACCTCTAAAGAAAAAGATAACCACATGAATCCCACCCCCATCAGAAACAGCCAGTACAGCTGAGAGGAGCAATGCTGCGAAGTGGCCAGCAGGAGGCAGCACTTACCTGCTACTTAAAAGCAGTAAACATTAAATTCACACAGCAAGGCAGATAAGCCAAAAGACATGACATTAATAAGCACATAAAGAAGATGAAGCAGGAATAGAGGTTTACTCACATTGTACCAGCTCTGGCTCTTCTGTGGAGAGAAAGAAAACATGTTAACAGCTCATCTTTTCATTAAAGACACTAACATTATAAGGATTACAGAAAAGAACAAGGATTATGGAAAAACTAGGTCATATAGAAATACACGGCATGAAAATGTTATTACAGACATCACATTGTTAAAGGTAGAGCGATTGCTGGACCGTATCTTCCATTATACCCGGTACTATCATCACATTGGAAGGTCAGCGTTATGCTTTCATTCTGATATATAGAGATCCATTATTACATGTATTCATTAGCTAAATGGAGTGTTTAAATCACCATTAGACCCGTATTAGAATACATTGTAAATGACAGGCTAGTAGCAGAATAAAAAGTGAAGATGTGGTAATGTAAGAGGGGGGGTTGTGTGTGAGTGTGTGTTCAGGTTTTATCACAACTTTGATGGAAATCAGATCGCATTCGATTGGCCACTTGTACAGAAATCAAATGAGTTCCTAAGGATTCTCAAACACGTTGCGTTAGGCCTCATTTACACTGCCATATAATACGCTGCGCATAGATTTTTGAAAAAGAAATGGAACCGAAATGCGTCCGGGCTCTGGATTTCTGCGTATTATACACGCGTGCAGTACATTAAAGTTTCTATTACAAAATGATGCATTCTGGATTGCATACAGTTCATGCACATATGCGCATACATACGCGTCTATATGCGTTTACAAATATGCGTACAATTTTGCTCTTCCGATGCGTGTGAATGAGGCCTTAGGGGAAAATGCCTTTTGACCAATATTGCTCCCCTGCAGGACCAAACACAGCCCCCAATCACCCAGCTGCCGGTGTTCATGTCCCTTAGGGCCTCATTTCCTAAAGCGAGGGGACACAAACCAGCTTCAAAACATCCAATCATGTGCAGGAGAATTTTAAAAAACGAAGCTTCCGCTTCACCTGATCGGATATTTGAACTGATCACACTCCTCGCACTTTAGTCACTCAGGCCCTTTGTATTTAGTAAATAATAGTAAAATAAATTCACCGTCTATAAACAGAAACTTTCTAGAGGAAATTAAAAATAAACAAGGGCACCAAAATCTGGATAGGTGTAAATAAAATAACACTCAGTTATCCAGCATTGTTTCATAATTACAGCTTATGAATATAAGTTTATAAGTGAGGAAAGGTTAAAGCCGAAGGTCAGTTTGTTTTTTGCTGAATGCATTCTGTTGGGGACATTTTCCTTCGCTTCCTATCCTGGAGACACAACAGGAAGATCCCTTCTTTGACAGTTGCCACCAAAACAAGTGACATTAATGGAAGATTTTAGCCTCGCCTCTTGTTCTAAAAATGTGAATTTCCAATTGGTCAATGGTCACCAGTAGAGATGAGCCTGGGCTTGGTGTAAACCCAGTTTGCCTGAGTTTCCCCAAGCCCACTCAAAACTGTGATCGCCACTTCGCCTCCCCACCCCCCCCAGGCCAAATCAGTGGCGGCAGGGACATTTCCCCACCTCTCTGTGACATCTAGCTGCAGGGCAGGGAATGTGCCTCTCTGCAACTGATTGGGTCAGGGGGGTGGTAGTCACAGTTGGGGCTGCAGCCTTTTCTAATTTTCATAATCGATTAGTTGCCTGATTATTTTTTTTCAACTAATCGATTGGTTGTATTAAAACTCTCTCTCACCAATGATGAGAATAGTTGGCAACTATTCTCATAATCAATTATTATTGATTTAGTCGATTAGTTGTTGCAGCCCTAGTTACCGTTTTGAGCAAAATTAGGTGATCTGGGTTTGCACCAAGGCCAGATTCATCCCTAGTCACCAGGACAAATAAAGAGGCTCTAACCCTTCCATAATCCAAAACTAAAAATACGTTTTGGGTTAACATATACTTTAGGAGTCATGTCCAATAGCTCTGAACATCAGATGATCTATTATTTAAACACATGTAATTGTGGCGTTCCAAATGCAAATGAGCAAGAACGTGCTTAATAAGTAGGTTAAGCACACAGCTACGGCTAGCATACCAAGCTTCCAAGTCACCCAATACAAATCAAACTGAAGCAGCAGTACCTCCCACTGGTAGGTCTGGAAATGTACTAGGACTGGTCACTATGGGGTTAATGTTTCAAATGGAGGCTGGATGTTCTGAAATAGAACTCCTTCCATTTACTTAATGCTGACGGTCTGATCAAAAATGGCTGAGCGCGGCTATTTCAGCACACTACGCGTCCACATCATGGGACTCTGGTTCCTGAGGCTGTAATTAGGACGATGCATGGCTGGAACTGCACAATGTCACTGCATCTTACCAACACTTCCTAGGCAAGCCTAGGAATTGACTGGATCTTATACAAAAAGCGCCCCGTATACCGGACAGAAGAGACGATTTATGAACTTATCCTACACCAAAGAACTGAAAACCTTCCTCTTCATTCATCTGGACTAGTTCTAATATAAACACTACATACAGACTTAGGGTTATAATATGATAAATACATACAGCACTTGTGAGCGCGCACAGCTATTGTGTCAATTTACTAATCAGATGTACTAAACAAACAGCAGTTTGGAAAAAGTTCAAGTGGTAAACCCCCAAACCTGGGGGTCTCAGCTGCCATTGTGATGTGTGAGGTCCTTTGTGTGTCCCTGTGCTTATAAGGAGGTTGGGCTGCCTCCTGGCAAACCTGCACCCATTTTTTTCTTTTGCTACATGTGCTCCCAGATGGAGACTCTGATAGGTTAGAGTTAGGACCGCACTATACAGAGGAGCCTTGACAAGGCTGTGCGGCTTTCACATATTCTGCAGAAGACGTGTATCTAAACATCTGTTTTAACCTTAGCGGTTACACAGGTTCTTTTTGCATGCTGGCTGATGTGTGTGCTGGGAAACCTTTTGCTGTTATATCGCACGCTCAGCCTCACCACAGAGATTTTCCATCCTGCAGGACAACAATCTGGGTGATGAAGTGATCGTCTCTGTGGCGGCAAACTCCACAGTGAACCCTTTGCATACACAAACAGCCACCACATTTTAACAGAAACATGTGCATCTGCTGTGGCAATTCTGTCAAGAAATGTCAGACACTCGCTGCTACGCCAGACAGGAAGGTAACAGAGTTTAAAATATGGCAGCTCTCACAGAAGGGGAGGATTCTTAAATTTTTGGTTAGAGCATTGAGAGATTCTGCTTCGGGATATTCAAATATCTTTTTAAATGAAAGAATAGGAAAAAAAAAAGTGCAAAAAAAATATTTACAGAAATATTACACAACTGACAATAGCAACAGTGAAATAAATGGGATTAAAAATGAAGGTACTTAGAATCTGACTTACTTTGACGTGAATTGTACTGTGCACCAGAACCACAGACCAAGCCAACTTTGCCAACAGACACTGGCCCTCAAAAAGGACTCTTAGCATTCTGGCACAATTTCAATGGTAATACAAGAACTCCAGTTGCCAATTGAAGCATCTGCAGCATTTTTGTTGACCCTCCAGAGGGTGTTTACACAACCAAAAGGGTCTGAAGGGTATATGGAGGGGCATTGAAGTGTTTTATTCAGTAGACGCTTCCTCAAGGCCAGATGTAATAAATGTTTCAATACTTCTTGATGACCAAGTTTTACAGTCCAATAACCAACATGCTATTGCATAGAATAAAAACAAGAGTTGATAGAGACCAAACATTATGAGCCAGACACATCCACCTCCTAGGAGATGTACTGTGGCCAATCTGCCCCGTGGACAGAGTGCACAGTCATACTTGGTACCCACTTGACACAAAGGTTGAACTTGATGGACCTGTGTATTTATTCAACCTGAAATACTATGTAACTATCTTCTCATGCATTGAGCCAGACTCCTGTTATGAATGCAGCGTTATCATATCAGGATTTATGGAATATAAATAGATTTTGGTTCTGGCAGTTTAAAAAAAACAAAACACTAGACCAAGATGTATATTGCTTTCAACCAGTCCTGGAATGTTCTAATAACTATTTTACAAAAGGAATTCATCAAAAGTCCTGGCTTTCCGGGCTCTGGTTTAATCGTGGTTACCACAGCCATTTATGACAGGGCTTTATTAAAATCTTTTGGAGGCTTTGCAAAACTTGGCCAACTACTGTTTATGAATTCCAACCTGATCTGCTTAATATAAGCTTTTCTGTGTTGAGGGTGTATTTTAAATGATAGAGACAGAATATCAAAACTCCAGAAAGAAATACGATACAAATGTTATATATTAAGTTGCAGTTCGGTGAGTAAAATAAGTATTTGATCCCCAAGCAAAACATGACTTAGTGCTTGGTGGAGAAACCCTTGTTGGCAAGCACAGAGACCTTTCATTTCTTTTTAAGCGGGCAAACTTACAAAATCTGCAGGGGAACGAATCATTATTTTCCTCACTGTATATACTGCAGTTTAATACATTTTTAAAATTAAATTACGAAGGCCTATTCACACCTACACAAGTGTATTACCACACATAGGTGTAAGCGGGCCCCTCAAAAGAATATGAACACCAATAACAGTTTTACATTTTTACAATTGTACTCTTCGGTATGTTATCTGATCTCCTTTAATCTTAGCTGGCAGAAAAGACTGACCTGAAATGATCTGCCCTGCTGCACCCTTCCAGCGTCTGACTGCAGGCTCTGCCCATAATATTTTGTCATAATATATGTAGCTTTTATTAATGCATGAACCGGCATAATCCATCGGCACAAAGACATCAAATTATACTGTTCACAGCAGGACAACAATAATGATGTATAGAATAGAAGAGATGTGGTGCTGATTATATGAGTCCCGTGCCGTGCAGCTTGGGGACAATTGACAGTTTGTGTGAAAACTTTGCTGCCATGGGGCTCAATTAAGAGATGATATACGAGTTGTTACCATTGTTAAATAATATTACACCTGTAACGGCTGTCATGCAGTTCTATGGAAGTGAGAGTATTAATCAGCTCACTGATAGAATTGTGTAACATTTAACCTGTGATTGAATAACATGTTCTATAAATA